ACACGTCAACCATTATCGCCCTCTAATTTTTGTCGATCAAACAAAATGCAACGAGCAATACTCAAAGATTAAAATATGGTTATTAAAGTGCCATTACCTAATGAAAAAGACCTAATTGATATGCAACGGATGTCTTAGACCAATCATGTCCACCATTGTATATGTGAGCTAATGATGATCAGGATTACGAATTTGCTTTCCATGAGTGGTGCATTCGTCTGCCCACAGAAAACCACCTAGGTCACCCATAACATACCCTTCTTCTCATCTATTCAAATGCCCTTTGTTTATTTTTAGTGTGTTTGTTTGTGTTGTTTGTCATCTTCCTTGCAATAGATTTGCATATTGTTGTGACCAATGCAAATACTATGTTGATGTTACATGTGGATTTATACCTAAACAAATCACACATAAAACTCATCACAATCACCTTCTTTCAGTAGTTCAAAAACAATCTCCTTCAAGTAATTGTTATATGGTCTCAGACATATTGGTAATGATCCCTTCTAAATGAATGCTTATGATCATTTTCTTCAACTTTTTTTTCCGATGCAACATTTGTGATATTGATATAAATGCCGAATGTGCTTTGTTGTTATCCGAGAGAATCAGACACAAGTTTGACAAACATCCCATGCACCTAAGTTATCTCTGGATTGAGAACTATAGTAGCGAATATCTTTGTGAAATTTGTGAGGAGGATATGAATCCTCATGCATCTTTCTATTGTAAAGATTGTGTTCAGTCATACCGTTTGTGCTCCTCTAATAGTTGAGTGCGAAACAAATAACTACCATTTCCGTTGGAGAAGCATTCCTTATTTTATTAATATAATGTTCGAATGCATTTTTAACATGGTTGGCCACCCACATCCTCTCACATTTGCTTTAGGTACCCTCTCAGATGGTCAATGTAGTACTATGTGTGGCATTTACTTACCATGATATTTAAATGTCTCGAGTGTAAGTTTGTCATTGACTGCTTCTGTTGTGAGCGTTTGAACATATGATGTTTTTTTTTGGTTTCTTTTCCATAGGCTTGATTTGTAATTGCCATTCCTCTTCTTTTATATCTCCCTCTTTTGTGTGTAAAGTGATATAATAAAAAAAAATTAAATATGTAACTCTTGCAATCAACAATCTTCTTATTCATGCCTACTAATTTAACAATCTATTTATAACTAATTATTTGGAAACAATGTCGACTTAACCATCTATTTATAACTAATTATTTGGAAACAACTTCGAGTGCCTACCATCTTACCTCCCTCTTACCACATTCTCATGGGAGTCGGAGTATCTTGCTATTGTTGCATTTATAACTAATTAAGAAACTAGTTAACTATTCATATACTTTATTACTGAAAGATCTAACCACCACCGCTATGATGACCACCCTGTCACAACGAACATAGTATAATGTCCACAATTTTTTTTTTTAAAAGAGTCAACGAATATCAATAAAATGATATCATCTTCGTGTATAAATTTTGTTTTATTGACTTACACAAAAAGAAATTCAAATTTTAAGAAAACATGCTATAATTACATAGTATACAAAATCTGTCAAAGTAAATACCCAAGCTAAGGAATAAAGTCATAAAAATAGGCTAATAGCATACTTTTAATTAGACAAAATTACATAAATGTTCCGTGTTTTCAAGATTCGTAAGTTTCGCTCTCAACTTTTTTTTTTCTTTACACACGGATGGTCCTTGTGGTTTCTAAGTTTCGTCCATTTTGGCCCTTTACATTTCATAACAATTTATTTTACACCCTAGTTATATTATTTAGATATTATTTTTTTATGTTTTTTTGACCTTATGTAATAAATTACATATTCAAAACATATTTGAATATATTTAATTGAAACTTATATCATAAAAATGTAATTTTCAAAATGATACATATATCAAAGATTAAAATATATTATCGTAGCATACTATTTGTAAATTTAATTGGTTTTTTATTTAGTAAAATATTAATATTAACTCATGCTATTTATCAAAAATATGTCATATGCTTAAAAACTGAAAAATAATATTAGAGTAGTTTATATAACATATGAGAAAGATAAAAATAATTTAGCTCATTTCTACGAAAAAACTAATTAAGAGGTTAACCATTGGAATAATTTTACAACATAATATTTTTGATCAATAAAAGTCGATGGAAATATGATATGACAAAACATATGAAGTTTAAAGCTAGTAAAGACAAATAGAACAACCATTTTATAATAATAAACCACACTCGAGTCCGGTATCGACCCACATGTCCATTACAAGATTCATACAAAATGACTAATGGGAGGACTATAAGGCTGAGGGAGTGATGCCATAGAAATTGGCATGGCAAACCTGCTCCACCTTACTCTTGCCATTCAATGGGAATGGTTCATGGTAAAAAAAAATAATGCAAGGCATGAAGAAGAAGAAGAGAGAAATTGGTAAAGAAGAAAAGAAATGAGAAGAGAGAGACTCGACATAGGGGTGGGGGTCGAGTTCTTTTGCCACATTTGCCATGTCATGTACCAGGGGTGGTGTTCACCATGGTAAGAGCATGCCACCTAGACCTGTGCTCCACTCCTTATACTCTAAGGTGGTGTTTGTTTTTTGTCCGCAGATCTTCATGGCCTCTTCTGTCTGCGCGGCGTAGACCACGCGCAGACATTAGCCTTCGCAGCGCAGACCACGCGCAGACATTAGCCTTCGCAGACTGTTTGTTTTTTTGAAGACTGCAGACCTAAAAATGTCTGCACGCCCTCTTCTTGGCGCAGATGTGGACTAGAGTCTTCTAACATCTTCAGACATCTTCTAGCCTAAAAAAACACATATACTTTATTTATTTTTTTTAGTTTTTTTGAATTTATATTTATTCCAACTTTATTAGTGATAAAAATTTTGAAACAAAAAAGTTACAATACTTTTAAAAAAAAGTTCGACGACACAAACATGATATTTTTGACAAATTTATAAATAAAAGTTTATTACAATAATGGTCGTTGAAGTTGTTTATATAAATATGAAAAAAAAAATAATAATATATTCTTATATTTTTTGTGTGCCAAATTTTATAAAATATTATTTAATAAAGCATCGTCAATTTCATAGAAAAAAATATTTATGGCACGTTTTTAATTGATTTAATTGAAAAAATCGAAGTTTATTTTCATTCATTTATATATCAAATTTTTTGATTCCTAATTACAATGTTTGAACATATCTTTGCGACCAAAATTGTTGGTTTTTATCAAATATATACGTTAATTTGTATCATTTTTATTTTCACTTTTTATACAATAATACATAAAAGTTGATTTAGATTTGTTAATTATTTATAACAAAGTCATAAATATATTAAAAAATCACTTTATAGTTTAAAAAATTAGTTTATTTAGATTTTAGTTTATTTTAGTAGTCTGTAGATGTTAAAAAAAACAAACAGTCTTCTTTTTTCAGACTGCAGACGTTTGGTCCACCTCTTTTGTTGCAGAGGTCTACAGATATGGTCCGCAGACTGCAAACATTTTGTCTCAGAAAAAACAAACAGTACCTAAAAGAAGGAACATAAAATCTGTGGAATAAAAAAGATCAACTAGGAAAGAAGAAGGGAAGAAAATGCAACTCCTCCCCCTTATTAATAGGAATTCATCCTATCAATGATAAATATGCACTTAAGAATAGAGGTTGAAAATAAAAAAACAAAGACGTATCCATTGATTACGTTTCAGGTACCAAGCATCAATTTCTGGGGTTTCTTTAAATTTTTATAGGTTATCCTTGTGAAAAAGAGGATGAAGAAGGCAAAGACGAGTGGATTTTGATCCATTTGTTCTTTGATGCTTAGGGTTTATTCATGCCCCGAACAGTTTAAACTGTTTACGATTAATCTTTTGACCACAACACAACAAAGAACAATTAACTAAACCATTTTTCTTTTATTTTGCGGTGTATGCGTTGTGACATATGTGGAAATGAGTTTCGAGAAACAAATATATGAAATTATATGCTTACCTAAAAGATTGTACAAATTCTATTTAGGAACTACAACTTCTTCATGATTTGTTGTAGGTTCTTGAAATCAATAAAAACTCGCTTTTTGGAATTAGTTGTTCTTCGAAAGCAATTAGGGTTTTCTGCATTATGATTTTTTGTAGGTTGTTAAAATCGGGCTACATGGATGCCATGCGGACAAAGTATGCCAAATAAGCACCCAAAATCGGTAAAACATGTTATGAATTGTAGATCAGAATGGTGTATTTTTAAACATACATTTATAGTTGGTTACCCTTGTGAGCATTAAAATGACAAAAATGACTAAATGTGAACATACAAAATAGTTGTTTTTCAATTAATAACATAAAACATATTAGTATTATATTAAAATTATTAATATATGTTGATATTTTCACGAGGGTTAGTTGTACAAATTTAAATCACTTGTTTTTATTTTTCATTTAAGCTTTTTCTCCCTTTTCAATTTATTAATAAGATTAAATGCAATAGTAACCAAATTTAACACTTGTTCCACCTAGGTACCTGAATTTATTTTGAAGAGGTTTAAGTGTCATTTTTGTTCCATTTATATGAAATTAAGTAATGTGTAACATGTTGGACCATATATTTAAAACAATTCCATTATATAATAACCAAGTTTAAGTTTTGTTCCATTGTGAAATTTTGTATCATTATATTTTGGTCCCAGATAGGCATCTTAGGACTCTTATGTGAAAATACTACAACAAACACAAGAAAAGTTGATTGTTCAAGCAAATATGACCTACATATGAATGTTTGACAAGAAACAATGGCATCAACATGGAAACTTATCCTACCATTTTGCAGGATGTGCATATAATGGCATAGAGGTCCCTAAATAAAAGGATCCAATTTCATTATAAACACAATATCTGTGATCGATATATAAGTGTATTTATGCTCTAAAGATGTGTTAAAGGAATTAACAACAATTACCAAAAAGTTAGAACAGATTACCATCTCAATTCTCATGATCCAACTTTTCTTGATAGAATTTTAGAACACCTGGAGCTTTTGTCTCATATCTTTCCAATCTCTTCATAAATATATTATCAGAAGACTTCAACCACCAGCAGAAACCACATTCATTCTTACCTTCTATCAATCCATTGTCCAAACAATATTGGTAAACCAAACATCTTGGAATAATCCTTTTCTTCATACTCAATGAAATAAGCACAGAATTATTTGCAACAATGGATGCCTCAAACCCCATCTTATTAACAAGATAATCCATCACTTTATTGATTTTCTCCTCCGATTTCATCATACACCATGGATTAGTCCTAAAACCTAGCAAGATCTGCTCTTTAGACAAACCCCATTTCTCATAAGTCTCCATCTTCTTCTCCCAATTGGACTTGCTTATTGACCTAAGTGCGTGAACAGCTGACATGAAATTTGTTTTCAAAGGATCAACGCCCATTTCCACAACTTCTTCCACGGCCATTTTGAACTGTTCTTTATTATCTGAAATATCTCTAGGGTGGTAAGTTAATACAGACAGCATCTTTGATCCAGGCACACCAACATCACGCAATAATTGCATATTTGGAATCACATTTGCTCGGGTATCCAAATCCAAGACCCACGCACACCTCCTGATTGCAAGAAGAGTTTTTTCATTAGATTGGAGTAAATCTCTAAGTAAGTTAAAGGTAGGTTCTATACTATTCTTCAAGCTTTTACGAAGGAATTTGGGTCTTGCAATTAGTATCTTGACAATATCAGAATCTGAAAGTCCTACAGAACGTAAGAACTCAAATTTGGGAAAAAGGTTTATTTGGGGATTACATGCGAGAGCCCTCGGAAACTTTCGCACTAAATGAGATATTTGGGTTTCTGTGAACCCTTGATTCTTGAAAAATGCTATCACAGAGTCTGCTCGATCTGGGGTTTGGATGTGTAAGCATTTGGAAGCTGAAATCGCCTTGTCTGGAGGGAATCCGCATGAGTCTATGAGGTAAGAAACTGTGAATGAGTTATCTGATGCTGCTTGTGACGAATATGATGTGCGAGGAAATAATCTATGAACCGATGTTGTTTTGAACACAGAAAATGTCAAGCTTCTGCCGACAAGATTAAACATTGCAAGTAGAAATCGTTATGATGGAGAGAGATCATTGACCTGTGGATTAAGGATTGATGCGATTTACGCTTCTGGATTTTGCGCTCTCTCTACGATCGGGTTTCACTTAAAAAAAACCCTAAAACAAAACGTTCCGCTTTCAATATCACTTGCTAAAAATGGGTTTTCAACATCGCTTGCCAGGGGAAACTCTTTTCTACTTCACTTGGTAAAACATCTCCGTGAACTAGTGTTCTTTTTGAATCATTACACCAATTTTTCAAATCTAAAAATATATTAAGTATTTTTTTTTTTTTTGACTACTATCACTAAAGTCCCATGTTTTTTTTGCACTAAATTAAAAAAAAATCCTGAATTTAATTTTTCGTTGACTGTGGCCGCGATATTTTCATGGAATTATGGCAAAAGGGCAAAGTGTCGGTTTCACCGGTTTCAACATGTTACAAAGCAAAGACGAACGTTAGAGGTCAGTTGTTAGCTAGGTTTTGTTCCATTCTTCTCTCCAACGTCAATCCAGCAAGACGGTAAGCTCCTCCAACATGCACACACAAAGGTACAGAGAATGGGCTTTAAGGAATCGTTGGTATGAAGATTTGAGATGCGAGTGTGATGAACCTGCGACATTCTCGATTTCCAAAACTGTCGATAATCCATGGAGGAATTCAAGGGGTGTCCAAACTATCAGGTAATATCAAGTTTCCTACTTCTTTTGTGGTCTTGTTGAACCAGTATGAAGAAATGGTTGTTGCACAGGACTCCAAAAAAATATGAATTTTTTTTATGGTTTGATCCACCACTGCCAAACACTTACTACAAGGAAACTATGTGGAAGTTCCATATGGATTTGGAGGAGGTTAAGAACAATAAAGCATTTGGAATGAAGATTTTGAAGCTTTCGGGGGAGGGCAAGAACAACAAAGCAGTTCAAGTGGATATTTTAAACCTGTTGAAGGTGGTGCTACTTATGATGGTCATGCTTTTGGTGGTGGTGATTGTGACGGGGTTTATGGTTCACAATGTTGTGGTTAAAGCATTGTTAAGTTGTGAGCATTACTTAGGTTCAGGTGGAATGGTAGTAGTGGTTTAGGTGTAAGGGTATTTTGGTCAAGTTAGACAGTAAGTTGATGCATGTGTTATGTATGGTAATATTTTGGTGTTGTAAGAGATGACAATGATAACAACTTATTATGTCTTAATGATAACAATGTATTATGTCTTAGTAATGGCAATACCTTTAGCACATACATATGTATAAAAATGACCAAATCTTGAAAATTTAATAGCAACCTACTTAACAAACTAACCAAAACATGGAAGGTAACAACAATTATAGTGATTAAGGCATATATATTGATCACTTAACAATCATACCATGTAGTTTACAAAGCTTCCCAAATGTCAATATCAGTTAACAGCCCAAAAAAGGGGAATGTACTTTACAAAGCTTCCCACAAACCACTACCATACCATGTAACCTAATTAGAACCAAACTTCCAATTCTACCAAACATTATGGATAGGAATTGGAAGATTGTTACCAAAAGACAAGTGTACCAAAAGTAGATGTTTACAAAAAAGGGCAACATATTTACTAATGCCCATTATACCCATTCAACCCTTAAACACAACTTCTTAATCTAAAACCCAAGGGGTTTTGGTAGAACCACCACCATCAGCATCTTGGACCATCTTGGACCATTTTCCTGAGCTTCAGTTTCCTAATTCTTTCAGAGGTAGTCCTCTTTTTCTCCTAATGAAACATCCCCAAAATATAGTCCCAATTTTTTTATAATGGCTAAAATAGTAATTTCAAACATTATCCAAACATCTCAACAAAACCAATGTGTCAATTGTTATAAAATCAGAGCAAAACATCAAATGTGGAAACATGTGGTGTGTGTCCTGCAACCATCCTGAGCTCTTCCATTGAAAACCGAAATACCTGAAACATAAATTAAAAACCATAAGCGCGAAGCTTAGTGAGTTCCCCAGGTGTAACGACCCAATTTTTCCAATAAAAATTTTCATTTTTAAATAACCAAAACACTTATATAAGATATAAAATTCCAATCACATTTGTTTTCAAAATCCATAATCATCAAATAAATTATTCATAACATCAGAGTGTCCCAAATAAAAACGCAGAGAGTGCATGCCGCGCCATCACGCCGGGCTCTTGCCCTTAGAACCTGAAGTACCTGAAACAACCAACAAACTGCAAGCTAATGCTTAGTGAGTTTCCATAGAGCATACCCCACACAATCCACATAATCACATAAATCATAATAGCTATATCAGCTACATAAACCACATAAGCCATGCATACAAGCATATAAGGATGCCATGGAAACCCTCCAAGGTCTTACATCGGGTGTCACTGGAACCCCCACGTAGTCTTAGCCCACTGCCATGGGAACCCCCACATGGTCTTAACTACCTGTCATGGGAACCCCTACATGGTCTTAACTACCTGCGATGGAAACCCCCACATGGTCTTCGCTAACCAAAGAAATATCATGCAAACAAAACATACGAACATACTAGGATGCCATGGAAACCCTCCAAGGTATTCCACCAAATGCCATAGGAACCCCCACATTGTAACGCCCCGATTCTCAGGTATTGTTTAAATAAGAATTTAATTGGTTTCAAGGCTTACTCGACGAGTTGGTTGCCCTACTCGTCGAGTAGCAACGGGCTTGGTACGCTTGTTTAGTGACCTACTCGCCGAGTCCATGAAGGGACTCGACGAGTAGGAGCTGGCAGAGGAAACCCTAAATCCCGGGGTTTTGCACCCTATTTAAGGAAGCATAAGCCTCCTTTGGCCTCTTTGCAGTCCTTTGAGAGCTCAGAAAACCCTAATTCGTGTGGTGTTTCATTCTTGTGTGTGTAAAGCTTTGGAGAGGAGATCTTTTGAGAAGAAGAGCTTTGGGAACAAAAGGCTAGGAGCAAGGAAGTGTGGGAAATCAGAAATCTACCTCATATAGCATCATTTGGAGGTATCAGGTCGTCACATTTTCTCCTTTTTCTTTCTAGACCTCTTTTGGTTGAGATCTAGGGTTTTTATGGGTTGGTTGAGATGGTGATGTGGGATATGAGCTAGATCTGAAGTTGTAACTTCAGATCTGTACCCTTCTTGAGTTCTAGAGTCATAAAGCTTTGAATTTGGTCATGTATGAAGTCTCTTTGAGTATGAAACTCCCATTATGAGCTTGGATTGGACATTAAGAGCCTTTGTAGCTATGCATGCACGTAAAGTTTGCAACTTTACGTGAAAAGCATGCCTTAGAAGCTTGGATCTGTAGTTTGGAGCCGTTGCATGGCTCAAATGAGTCTGTATGGCAAAAAGGACTGAAGGGACTCGGCGAGTCGCTTGGTCGGCTCGACGAGTCACATGAAGATAGGCATGAACTCGGCGAGTTGGAAGAACAACTCGGCGAGTCCGATGAAGATTGTCATAGACTCGACGAGTGTATGAACAACTCGGTGAGTCGGATGAGGTTGCCCCAAATTATGTATGCGCGGGTAACTATCGAGTTGCAAGAAGGAAGTTCGACGAGTGGCCTTAGGGTCTCGATCGTAAACCAAAGGAACTCGACGAGTCACTCAGGTGACTCGGCAAGTGGGTTAGTACTTCAAGGAACTCGGCGAGTAGCCGGGGGTACTCGGCGAGTCAAGGTTAACATGGACTGTTGACCTTGACTGATGACTTTGACTTTGACCAGGGTTTGATTAGTTGGCTTAAGGGGTACCTTGAAGGGTTGGGAACTTATGGGTATGATTATACTATGGTAATAGGTGGTGGAGTTTGTGGCAGTGATCCGAGGGTTGAAGTTTATCTACCGAGTCGACATCTGCAAGGTGAGTTATCCTCACTATATTGATAGGGTCTAAGGCACCAAGGCCGGCCCTTTAGTTGTTATCGTTATGGTATGCTACATGTGGATATGATTTGTTAGATCAGAATCAGGATAGACAGTATGTTATGCTCTTATGATCCGTAGGGATTGATATGTTAGTGACCTGCTAGGTCAGTGCTCTAGTTATGAGAGATTGCTATGTTTGGTAATCAGTGAGATAGATATGTTCGATGTTTGTATATGCCAGTAAATGTTAGTTATGCGCACATGGTTATTTCCTTGTTGCTTGGGTTGAGGCGGTCCTGCTTTGTGCTGAAGGCCAACACACCCTATGAGCGGTCCGGGAAGACTGTAGGCCCACATGGCGGTCCAGTCATGCCGAAGGCTCGGTATAGATTCAGTTGGACTGTAGGCCCTGTAGGGCGGTCCAGTCAGGCCGATGGCCCAGTATGGATGATGATTGATTGATTATTACGGATATGGTATTATCAGTGTGGTATTGGTATTTTGGGGGTAGCTCACTAAGCCCTCGGGCTTACAGTTTTCAGTTTATTGTTTTAGGTACTTCAGGAGTTCATGGCAAGGCGAAGGCGTGACCGTACCGCTCCTCATCCTTATGATCTGGCTTTTGGGACACTCTGATTGAATAATGAATTGAAAACATATTTTGTAAACAATACTATTGGGTTTTATTTATGCTTGAAAAGTTTAAATTTGGCATAAATTTTTGGATGTTACACATATGGTCTTAATCTACTGCAACAGGAACCCCCCGGGGTCTTCCATACAATTGTCATACCAACATAACACATAACTAACTAACAATCCATATATCACATAATGGGTCGGCCTTGGTGCCTTCAACCTATTGGTATGGTAAGGAGACTCACCTCTCGAGAAATGCCGAACTCATAAGATCAAATCCTAACTCTAAGCTCCGAACTCAACTGCCTACAACCACCATGTGACCAACTCCGTCAAAATCCCGAAATACCAAAGATACCCTTAAAGTCAAACTTGGTCAACCATGGTCAAAGTCAAAGTCAACAGTCAATGTCAACAGTCCATGTTGACCCAACTCGTCGAGTGCATCTATCAACTCGTCGAGTTCCTTCAGTCTTCAGAAAACCGAGAAAATCTCTAGGCTGGTAAGTTAATGAACTCAACATCTTTGATGTAGGCACACCAACATCTCGCAATAATTGTATATTTGGAGCCATACTTGCTTTATAATCCAAAGCCAAAAACCATAGACACCTCTTAATTGCAATAAGAGTTCTATGATTGGATTGAAGTAAATTTGTAAGTAAGTTAAAGGTAGGTTCTATATGATTCTTCAAGCTTCCACTTAGGGATGATGGACTTGTAGTTAATAACTTAACAATATCAGAATCTGAAAGTCCTTTAGACCTTAAGAAGTCAAATTTGGGCAAAAAGGTTTTTTCGAGATCATGTTTGAGAATAAGAGGGAACTTTCGAACCAAATAAGCAATTTGGGATTTTGTGAAGCCTTGGTTGTTGAAAAATGCTATCACAGAGTCTGGTCGATCTGGGGTTTTGAGGTTTAAGTATTTGGAAACTGAAATCGCCTTCTGGAGGGAACCCCAATGAGTCTCTGAGGTAGGAAACTGAGAATCTGTTATCTGACGCTGCTGGTGAGGAACTTGATGAGCGAGGAAACAGTCTATGAACCGTTGTTTTGAACACAATGAATGCGAAGCTTTTGCGTACGAGATTGAACATTGTGAGTAGAATTCGTTATATTGAGCTAACTTACCTGTTGATTGGGGGTACTACTTGTATGCGATTAAAAGCTTGTGGATTATGTGCTTTTTATCGAATCGATTTTACTTGAAGAACCCTAAAACAAAACCCCTGATTTATGTTTAGTTTTCAAAATTCGTAAAGAAGGGTTTTTAACTTCACGTCTTCATCAAAGTCAGTTTTGGTTAGGGATGTAAATGGGGGCAAACAGCCCCCACCCCAAAATTCCCCCCGTTCCTCTATTCGTCCCGTTCCTGAAATCTCTAGCCTCTCCACTCCGCCTCCGCTCCCGAATGTCAGGATTACCCTTGTCTCCGCTCCCACTTCCCCGTCCCTATTTGGGCTGTTTTTTTTTTTTTTGTTAAAGAAGCTATTTTTTGGGTCCCACAAGACTTTTTGACATCCCTAGTTTTGGTCGTTGTGGTAGTGTGGTTTACACCATCTCCAACTTGAATGGGATTTGGTTGAGGTTTGACTTGAATGCTTGAATGCGAGTAAGTCATACAATCCCTTTGAAAAAAATGAGGTTAATTAAGTTTTAAAATTGTTCAAAAATTAAACTTTAAGTTTAGTTACAAAAAAATATCAATAAATAAGGTTTTTGTATATAAAATATCATTTAAGTTACATCTCATGGTAAGCGGTTGATTAGGTTAATATTATTAATTTATATTATCCAATCGGTAAAATGTCTTAAAAAGGTAACTAAGTTTCATATATTTTCAAAAAAGTATCATTCAAGTTTGGTTTGGATAAAAATGCTAGTGAAGTAAAACCTTTGTACACATAATACCATCACAGTATACGTTTTGTTCAAGTCACACGTTATAGTAACCGGTTGGTTGCTTAGTTGGCATATTTAAAGCTTAGTTGACATATAGGATGATTTCCATCGGTTGAGAATGTAGATCAGTCGTCAAAAAGTAAAGCCTAGAGAGCATACTGTCACTCATTGTCATGTTCGATCTGAGTACAATTGCAAAGTTATAGCTACTCCTAATGAGAAGAAAAAGAGAAAAAGGACAACAATGTTTTGTGGCTGCGTAGCCTTTGCATAATGTTCTCTTCTGACTATTACTCCCTCCACCACCATTTAATACGCTTATCTTTATTAGTTTTTTCGAGCTTGAGCTGACCACATAAGTCAAGCCTTCACTTACTTATTTGTAGATTATTCTGAAATCTCCATCTCCTCGTCGCACTTGTCAATCAAGCATTTGTCAATGTTAGTCAACTAAATATGGTGTGAGGCCCCATGTGAATCCTTAAATTTGAGGAGCATGTTTCATCAAAATGATGGTCTTGAATGTATTTCATTCTTTCTGGAAGGGAAAAAAGAAGTACCCCCATCATAGTGGTCCATCCCTATGATAAAAAAAATGGTCCACTTAACAATTAGATTGTACTCATATTGAATATGGCTATAAATGTTAGTGTTCTCTGTAGGCCTTACTTCTAGATCACCGACTTAACTAATGGAAATCCTTCATGAGAGTTATAGGCCTAATTTATTTCATTCTAAGGGTTATATGTTTGAGTAATGTCCTAGATGTCAATTAAGCATTAAACATGGATTTTAACGAAATATTTATTGTTGTTAGGCTGGAGGGTGTACTCATATTTCACACTTCACTTTACTTCGTCATCTTAACGTCACCTCATTTTCTCCTCACTCTTCAAAACCCTATAAATTGTCACCTCTCACTTCCCCCAAACATTAAGGCATTGTATTGTATAAATGATAAAGCTAGAAAGAAGAGGAAAAAAAGAAGAAGAGAACCACACGTGAAAGAAGATCCGCATCTTGAAACACTTCACACTCATCGCATTCATGATGTGGTGTTCCTACATATGGTGAAAATACCACCTCACCTATTATTAATTTTGAATTTGGTTCTTTGAATAGTTTAATTTTAACAGAAGTCTTTTAGCCATTATTCATTTTGAATTTGGTTCAACCCAGATTGTAAAGACAAGGTTTTGCATTTCTTTGATAGGAAAATAAAGGTTAGTTAATTATTGTTAGTATTTGTTTCATTATTTAGGATTTATCTCCTAAATATGAATAAATCCATAATCAATTAGGAGTAGTTTTATAATTATTATACATATTGTTAGAGTTTTTTTTTTCCTTTTTTTTTCCATTATTGAGATTGAAATGAATTAAGGAACATGGATTGTTCTTAATTTTGTTCTTGTTCTTCATAAAGTATGACCATACTTTCTTTAATCCTCTTGCCATCATCTGTTATCGAAGACATGGGTGCAATTAGGGTTGTAAACGAACCGAACAAACACGAACGGTGGTTTGTTCATGTTTGTTTGTTTAAGTTAGACGAACAAATGAACGAATACGAACGGATAAACGAACGAGTTTTGTTGTTCATGTTCGTTTGTATAAGAAATTACATTGTTCATGTTCGTTAGTTTATGTTCGTGAACATGCTAAACGAACATAAACGAACGAACATAAATGAACAAAGATAAACAAACATAATTGAACATATATGAACATAAAATCTAGTAATGTAATCAAACATAATTAAATATATATTAACATAAAAGGAACTTATATGAACGAACATAAACGAACTTTCATGAACATAATTAAACGAACGAGACCATTGTTCATGTTTGTTCGTTTAACTAAACGAGCGGAAATTTGTGTTAATGTTCGTTCATTTATTAAATAGACGAACATAAACGAACTTCCCGCCGAACGGTTCACGAATGTTCGTTGAACGTTTGGTTCGTTTACAGCCCTAGGTGCAATGATTGGAGGTGGAAGATTATGAGGAATTGTGAATCAAAGATGCGTCGGCTAATGTTATTTAAACACCATTTGTTGCCTAGCAATAAACGGTAAACCAAAATATTGTGTTTAATCACTAGCTAGGCCAAAGGAAAGTGGGGGAAACTGCTTTGAAGAAGAAGATAACATCAGATTGAGTGATTACTAAAAATTGATAATTAATTATTCTGTTATGTGCTCGTTCATGTCATTGTCTCGATGTTTTTTGGATAACCATGGATGGATTTGAACACACTTTGCTACATGGATTTGACAGAACATTCAAAACCCATAAGCTATCCATTACATCCATAAACGAAAAAGGAGCATACCAAAACAAACAACATACATCTACATTACAACAAAAAACGACACAAAGTCACTTTGTGACAGGACCCTTTCATTTGCCAATGCAACTTTAAGCAGGAGTTATAAACAAATCAGGTTAAATGGTTGGACAAATAGATGTTAAAAGAATACAAAATAAAAATTTTAATTTTCTTTTTCCGAATAAGGTGGAAGACACATAGAATTTCATCTTCTATCCACATGACCCAACTTTTCCAGATAGAATTTCAAAACACCTGGAGCTTCTTTCTCATATCTTTCCAATCTCTTGATGAATTTTTCCTCCGAACATTGCAACCACCAACCGAAACCACAACAATTTTTATCTTTCATCAATCCATTGTCCAAACAATATTTGTAAACCAAACATCTTGGAATAACCCTCTTCTCCAAACTCATTGAAATGATACCAGGATTCTTTACAATAACAGTTGTCTCAAACCCCATCTCATTAACAACAAAGTCCATCACTTTATCAATTTTCTCCTTGGATGCTTTCATACACCATGGATTAATCCTAAAGGCTAGTAAGATCTCGGTTTTAGACAAACCCCAATTCTCATAAGTCTCCATCTTCTTCTCCCAAGTGGACTTGCTCATTGACCTAACTGCATGAACTGCTACCATAAAACTTGAGATCAAAGGATCGAACCCCATCTCCACAACATCATCCACAGCCTTTTTGAAATGGTCTGTAGTAACTAAAAAATCTCTAGGATAATAAGTTAATAGATTCAACATCTGCAATCTGGGCACACCAACATCGCACAGTATTTGCATGTTTGGAATCACATCTGCTTTGAAATTCGAATTCCAGATCAGGGCACACCTCCTGATTGCAATGAGTAATCTATCGTTGGACCGAAACAAATTTCTAAGGAAACTAACGGTAGGTTCTACATGATGCTTCAAGCTTCTACTTAGGAAGCTGGGTCTTGCAGTAAATAACTTAATAATATCAGAATCCGAAAGTCCTATAGAATTTAAGAACTCAAATTTGGGCAAAAGGTTTTTCTCGGGATGACATGCGAGAGCCAGGGGGAACTTTCGAACCATGTAAGAAATCTGCGTTTCTGTGAACCCCTGATCCTTGAAAAATGCTATCACGGAGTCTGCTCGATCTGGCGTTTTGAACTTCAAATATTTGGAAGCTGAAATCGCCTTGTCTGGAGGGAATCCGCATGAGTCTATGAGGTAAGAAACTGCGAATGAGTTATCTGATGCTGCTGCTGGTGACGAAGATGACAAGCGAGGAAACAGTCTATGAAACGATGTTATTTTGGACACAGAAAATGACAAGTTTCTGCCGATGAGATTGAACATTGTGAGTAGAAATCGTAATGGTGGAGGAATCACTGACCTGTGGATTTAGGGCACGGCATGTATGCGATTAAAGCTTATGGATTTTGGTTTTTCTCTGTAATCGGTTTTCACTTGAAGAACCCTAAAACAAAACCCCTAATTTATTGACATTTACTTTTTATTTTTTAACCAAGGGGCCGTTTGATAGTCGACTTAGAAAGTGCTGAGCGTGAAAGATTTGTCGAGTAATAAATTCTGACTGAATGTGTTGACTGATGCAAAATGACCATTTCACCCTGGTACTCTTTATAATAATAATAATAATAAAACTTCCACCATAATAAAAAATATCTAATCAATCTTATTCATTTAAAGAAAGATTACGAACTCACTAACAAATCTTTTTGTCTACTAAGGCTTTAAGGCCCTGTGTTATGCAAGACCGACTTATAATTGGTCTTGCCCGAGGAGATGAAAAAGAGGACATGATAGAACCAGGTGTACTGCCTGGGACTGAGGCTGGAACAAAATTGCAATATTTGATCTCTCGTCTATGAAAAAGACGTAAATGTCCTCCTAATCCTCATAGCTGAAATGCCCTTGAAACCATGTTGATAAAAATCAAGAAATTATACCCTTACAAACAGAATCACCAAAAGATGGAATGGCTTATTCCAAAGCTCTGATGGCATCCTTGGAAGTGAAAAATGAAGCATTATCAGTTGACCGCCAATTAACCAAGAAATGTGAAATTTTACAATGTAGAATTAGAAGACTGTTTTCTGTATCAGAAGTAGAACTTATGGAAGTGAAAACTGAAGCATAAACCTAATCCAACTTATTTTTAAACAGAGAGAGCATTGCTTATTTGGTTCAGGATCTAGAATAACACCCGGATGTCTTACAATCTGCTTTGACAGAACCCCAAGTTTTGAACAAAGGGAACATCAGCAGGCAATCTAGAATTATGATAATCGAATATTTAAGCTTGTTGGTTTTGAGTGTTTAGCTTACAATTAAGGAACAGATACCATCATCCAAAAATTTTAACTGTAACTGATATGTAAACTAAAAAATAGCCGAAATAAACAAAATTTTAATCACTTGTTAATGAAAATTGAAATGAACATAGACAAAGGCCAAGAAAGATGAATTTTTTCAGGTTATAGTTTCTCTCCTCTATGTATTATGTACTTATTTGTTCCGCGTATTTCTAAATTCTATTAACACATCTTCAATTATTCTCGTTTGAATCAAAGAGGTGTATCATATGATTCATTCTGTGAAAGTATATACTAACGTGTTGTCAAACGGATGAGATGAGATCCATGCAGCGAGATGTTAGCATGTCCGAATTATGTGAAACATCGACCGTTAGGTTAAAGCAGTCCAGTTGTTTAGGTGAAACATCAAAGAATGTAAAACGAAAACATAAATGTAAAAAGGTAGAGAATTACTAAAGGTTATTCCTTCTGTTGCTGGTAGACTTCCTAATGTTGCAAATTGTTGCTATTGTGGTGCTATAAAATTTTATTCAGAAACAAATCACTAATGTTGCTCAGATGGTTCTATTGTTTTGTCAACTAATGAACTATCGGTTGTTATGCGTGATCTTTTATGTTCAATGTCAGATGAAGCAAAAATGTTTAGGCCATATGTAAGATCGTACAACAATGTATTTTCATTTACTTCCTTTGGTGTTAAAGTAGACAAAGCTCTTGCTAAGAGAAACAAAGGAATTTACACATTCAGGGTACAAGGCCAAGTATATCATTTCATCAATGACTTGATGCCTCAGAATAATAGCTCAAAAAGTCTTTAGTTGTACTTTCACGATACCGAGCATGAAATAAAAAATTGCCTTTCCACTTGCCCATGTTTTTCAGAAGACTTGATTGGAAAATGTGTTAAATATCTTGATCAAAATCCTTATGCTCGATTTTTTAGATCTTTAAGAGATGTTCCCGATTTGGATAATTATAAGATTATTCTCAAGACAATCCCTGGTCAGGATCAACGAACATATAATAAGCCAGAGGTTTCACAAGTTGCAACGATTTGGATAAATGACGAAGATTATGGGGATTATGGTACTAGAAGTATTGAGGTGAAAACACATAACAATGAATCTAAGAGTGTTCAATACTATTTTGGTTGTTATGACCCTTTACAATGCCCTTTGATGTTCCCATTCGGAGAGCTTGGTTGGCATCAATGTATTCTTAAGAAGAGTGAAACTGACAAGAACAAAAGAGGGAGAATTATTTCTGTCGCTGAGAAGCTTATTTATACATTAGACCCGAATAGAATACCCTTCATCTTCACACACGTAACGCATCACGAGACCGGGTCGTCCTTTTGACGGCACTTAGAATTACCTAGTATTATAAACAAGTGAATCGATCATCGTGCTGCCAATACTTACACGAGATGCCGCATCTTATTTAAGTCACCAACACATCTCTATATGACATTTTATGTATTCCAAACTAGTTCTATTGATTTTGGACCAGCTCTTTGCATTTTGAAGTGTTCTAGAGACCGTTTTCTAGATTTTTTACTTTTACTAATTATTCCTAATACTAATATTACTCACACAAAAGCCTAAATAGCACCACCATCAACTTCAAACGAAATATTTCATCTAGAAAAACGCTAAAACGCTACATTTAAGATACTAACCGGTTACGATAATAATCTAAAATGATAATATATTAACGACACATACCCACAAAACTACGAGCTCTTCACCACTATCATTAAACATTCCGGAGAAAATTGTTACTTTTAAATGTATTCGTTTGTGTGAAACATGTGAATAGAGACCCGGTAAGTCCAAAATTGCGATTTTGGATTGATTCTCCAAAATATTATATATAACGGGTTAACTATGTGGGCGACCCAATAAAAACGTGTTTCGAATGCAACGTTTTGGATAAAATGATTATTTTACAAAAAAAAAAATAAGAAGAAGAAAAGCTTGGTTTTAAGAAAAACTTAAAAACATGGTTAGCTTAGTTATTTAATTTCCCTTGATTTATTACCTTTTCAAAATGAATTGAGCCAATAACCTATTTGACAATTCAAAATAACTTTTCTATGAAGTTTCAAAAATCAGTCCTTCGTTATTTCTTGAAGATTCTTTTAACTTTTTGAGATAAGAAAATAATAATATCATTAATAGTAGTGTTAAGAAATAACGTATCCACTCCCTCTTCCGTCTCTAAGGTGTTGTTTGTTTTTTCTGAGGCAATATGTCTGCAGTCTGCGGACCATATCTGTAGACCTCTGCAGTAGAAGAGGTGGATCAAACGTCTACAGTCTGAAAAAAGAAGACTGTTTGTTTTTTTAACATCTGCGGGCTACTAAAATAAACTGAAATCAAAATAAACTGATTTTATTAAACTTCAAAGTGATTTTTTTAATATTTTTATGACTTTGTTATAAATAATTAACAAATCTAGATCAACTTTTATGTATTATTGTATAAAAAATAAAAATAAAAATTATATGAATTGACATATATATTTGATAAAAAACCAACAACTTTGATTGCAAAGTTATAACTAAACATTATAATTAGGGATCAAAGAATTTGATACATAAATGGATGGAAATAAACTTCGATTTTTTCAATTAAATCCATTAAAAACGTACCCTATATATTTTCTCGAGAAATTGACGATACTATATTAAATAATGTTTTACAAAATTTGGCAAAAAAATATAAGAATATATATTATGATTTTTTTTTCATATTTATATAAACAACTTCAACGACTATTACTGTAATAAATATTTATTTATAAATTTGTCAAAAATATCATGTTTGTATCGTCGAACGTTTTTTTTAGTTTTGTATTTTTTTTTAAATTGTTTATCATTAATAAAGTTGGAAAAAATATAAATTAAAAAAAACTTAAAAAAATTAAAGATATATGTGTTTTTTTAGGCTAGAAGATGTCTGAAAATGTTAGAAGACTCTGATCCACATCTGCGCCAAGAAGAGGGCGCACATATATTTTTAGGTCTGCAGTCTTCAGAAAAACAAACAGTCTGCGAAGGCTAATGTCTGCGCGTGGTCTGCGCGGCGCAGACAGAAGAGGTCATGCAGATCTTCAGACAGAAGAGGTCACGCAGATCTTCAGACAAAAAACAAACACCACCTAACTCAATTGTCTTCTTCAATGAGAACATCAGCCGCCATTAACAACATTTGTTAGACCAGATTATCAACGAAAACTTAAAGGACTGCTAATGCTCAAGATTAGAAATATTTGTCCTTTTTGAAATTGAGATCGAACAAATTATTAAATTTAAAGAAAATTGTAACTTTGGTTCCCGTGGTTTGGTAATTAGTTTGTCACCGGTGAAGTGACTTTTAAAACAATAAATATTGTCATTTTGATTTAGTCGGCATTGTGGATTTAATCTATATCAAACTTAAAAAAGACTCTAGTTTATTTATTTATTTATTTTTATTTTCTTTAACAAAATTTCTAAAACTTTTTTAATGTTTTATTAAATAAAATTTCAACTCAACCTCACACATTCGCGTTCGTCTCCTTATCTGACCTCACCGTCACCCCTTCCCTCCTCCGGTAACCACCACCGGTCACTACTATATGATCATAGAAGGATTGAGTAGGCTGCAAGGAAGATAATAAATAATTAGGAAAGTTTACTTAAGGTTTTTTTTTTGGTTTAATAAGGATTCGTTTATCCATTTGTTTTGATAGATTAGGATTCAATTTCCTTTAGTTTAGCTTTCCTTGTAACATTAGCAGGTCTCTATAAATATAGTGCACCATAGCTGATATTTTTTTATCAATCAAATAAACTAGTCATTAACTTTCTTGGAGATCACCTATTCTCGAATTCAGGTAGCATTGAGATCGGATCTTATACCTATTAAATGGTATCAGAGCCAACTATCCTGTAGAATGACGGCCAAACTCAACAACACAAAAATGATTGGTAACCTGGAGGCCAACTTAGCCAAGATGTGTGAGGAGGCAACA